TAGTTATATTCTTAACCCTTTGTGAGTGTCAGGATTATTAATCACAAGAGAAATATGTGAAAACTCCTTTCACATTAAGAAATTTATGTTCCTGGGGCATCCAGGATATGGAAGCTTCATGGAATATGAGATGGTTCTTGTTTCATGTAACAATGTAATCCCATTCCTCAACCCAAATACTGGAGTAACCGTGGTGTATAAAATACTTCTCATGATTACAGGAATACCCATCACAATAAAAGAGCTCTTTCTCCAACAATGAGGCCAAGTCTCTAGGTTTCCATCCTCACAGCTCTGCAGAATTTCATCTGTGCAACATCCAGGAAGGCCCACTCTCTGGCACTCACCTTGGTCCACATCATTGACGACCGCTGAGACCTAAAATGTCCCTCACACTCTGGTTCAGCAAAGTATCACATATTCAGTGTAGACAAGGAAAAGGTAATGGTGACAACCTTGGGAAACTGAAAACTCATAGGGATTTCAAACAGAATTTTATGTTTGATCAAGGAACTCTGGTAGGTGTGTGATTACAAGTTGGCCTGCTATCTTTCAATCAGCAGTGAGAAGCTAGCAGTCATTATACAGGAGAAAGATAAGGTATTCTGCTCTTCTAAAGATTTAAAGCCTCGGAAACCCTATACAGATTTGCTATTAGCTGAGTTGATTCCCTGGCACACATCTACCACCACCACCAAGGTCTTCCATAAGGTACAGCTATCAGCAATGTAACAACACTAAATATATTTCCTTCCTGTCTGATGGCTTTCTGTGTCATAAGACAAAAATCCTTAACAGTTTGAATGCAACCAACTGTTGTATTCCTTTCCGTTTCTGATTTAGAACAGCTAAAACAGTGACAATTTTGAGAAATGGTCTAATGGACAAACACCTATGCCTTCCTGAAGAACCATCATGAGACTCAAAACCAAACAATGTAGAGTGAAGGTCCATTGAGATGGTGAGACCCTGGAGGCACTGCAGAATGGCAATTCCCTCGTACCCCACACTGCCATTGGATTTCCCTGGGCCCTCCCCATACAAATTGATCACACAAGACCCCAGGTGTTCATGTTGTCTTTAACACTAGGAGATATGATGGTATAGGCCCATGTCATGAAAATAGGGGTATATACATGTCAGTCACCTACTGTTGAAAGTCTCAATTTTGTCATTTTTTTAAATGTTTTATTGTGAATTATGTGATAGTTTACATGGGAGAACATTAGTTTTACATTCATTCTATCCTATCTGTCATCTCATTGCCATGGTTACAATCCCCTCCATGCAATCCTTCCCCC